GTATCACAGGAATCCTAAACCTGCACTGTGTGTGTGTGTGCGTGCGTGCGTGCGTGTGTGTGTGTGTGCGTGTGCGTGTGTTTTACTACAGGGGTTTCTCATCTCCATATGTCTTGTATCTTCCTCTAACATAAGGCTGATAGCAGGTCTGCGCCCCTAATGACACCCTGTTAGGGCTCTGGTCACACAGAACTGGTCTGGCTCTCAACACGTTTCCCTTTCACACCCCAACAAGTCCCTGTAGAGGAGGGCTGATGGAGGAGAGGGGGAGGGGTGCAGATGCGGTTAGGAGAATTAGGAGAGAATTAGCTTTCATTTGTGTTTTATTGGAAATGTTATTAGCTTGATGCCACTAATACCACATGTGATTTGCCATCAGTGGTGATAATTAGGGATACTTATGAGACGCTTATTCCCAACAGCGTTGTTCACAGCCGGTAAACAGTTGGTGTGTGTGTGTGTGTGTGTGTGTGTGTGTGTGTGTGTGTGTGTGTGTGTGTGTCTGTGTGTGTGTGTGTGTGTGTGTCAGTTGTGTTATTGGGTGTAAACATGTTCTCTTGCATGGAAGAGAGGGATTGGATGTAGCATCTCTAAGGGACTTAAAAGATCTCTGAGGCTGAAATTGATATTGGCCGACACTTTTGGTATGACCTTACCACAATCCAATTGTATATTGTTAACCATTTAAAACAAGTTTTCAATTCTGCAGAAAAGTTATTGTTTTCATATGATTCTGAGATAAATGGAGGGGACTGAATCAAGTCAAGGATATAACTCTCATTAACTATTTAAATGTCAAAAGGTTCAAGTTGAAATCGGGAAATGAGTTAATTATTTACGGTGACTATAAATGGAGGAGACTGAGTCGAGGACATAACTGTCGTTAACTCGCCTATTTATGTCTAAGGTTAAAGTTTTCAAATGGTGACTTTGTAAATGACTTGGCTGTGCAGCGTTGAATTTCAAGAGAAGCAACCGTGACCTACCAGTTAAATGAAGCAGTCCAACGGAGTAATACTATAGTGTTGGAATT